TTATTTGAAAATTTTTAAGTATAAAATCAAGCTCTAGGACAAAGGTTTCTACAGGTGTCTCCTGAGGATGTAAATGAATAATCTACTGGAGGATGTAAATGAATAATCTACTATTGTCATCACATTTTATGCGTATAATGTTGATTTTACACTGGAGACCTACACATCAAGCTAGACCTTTTGAGTACAGGTGCAGCGGTCATTTTTGTGGCTAATGATTCTGATTTCTTATGCCAAAAGTATAGGCATAAAAAGTACACTATACCAGAACATGGTGTGAGTGTGTTTTCAAGGTGCACAGAAACCAGATCTCTAAATATGGACAGGATGCTGCTCCTTACGCTGACAGAGGATCCTCTTATGGCTCCTTTCTCTAGTAATAAGTAAACCAGCATGGCTGATCAAGCATATACCTGTCCAAAACAGAGAAAATAAACAAGCTTTCTGCTCAGAAACTTTGTTCTTTGTCAGAAGCTAACTTAACCAGAAGCTGGTCTCATACCAAGAATACGTGTCTGGGGACAACCTGTTAAACCTGTTAAACTAGCAAGTGAAACACTATGGTTAGCTCTGGTTAGCCATGGTTAACGTTCATTCTTCAAAAGAAATAGGAGAATTAGAAAGACAGGCTCCCCTTAAACAGGCACTGGAGTAATGGCGGTCAGTCAGTGACCCAAAACAATTTTTGGAAGACTCCTTGACGGTCAGCAGTTATCAACAAATTATCAACACAGTGCACAATGAAAGACCATCACTGATGAGAAACATGCCTAAGTTATGCTAGCTGTGAAAGCTAAGTTACTTACAATCAAGAAAGGAATTTTTAATGTTATCCAGCTAGCCACACTCAGCTAGCTAGCACATACTGAGCTTACAACGGCATTACAGGCATAACATTATGAACACCTCCTTGTTTCTACATTCATTGTCCATTTTATCAGTTCCACTTACTTTATAGGTGCACTTTGTAGTTCTACAATTACAGACTGTAGTCCATCTGTTTCTCTGCATACTTTGTTAGCCCCCTTTTACCCTGTTCTTCAGTGGTCAGGACCCCCATGGACCCTCACAGAGCAGATACTATTTGGGTGGTGGATCATTCTCAGCACTACAGTAATCACACAGTAAAGCACACAGTAATCACCTCGATCATAATGTTATGCCTGATCGGAGTATGTTAGCTACATATTGACACACAGTATTATTTCATCTATGGACTGTATCGATGAGTGGACATTACTCTCCGCTCCCATTGTGACGTTGCAAACGGAAGTCGCATTTGGAAATCTTGGAAATCTTGTTTGTGCTTGCAGTAGATGAAAACTGCACTCCACCCATGTTCGCTGGGGACACGCCCCTCTTTTTACCAGTGTCGGCGGTGCGCACAGCCAAAGTGACTGAACCTGACTTAAGATTTTAAAATGTTTGTATGATACTAGGCTTGAGTGTTACATTAAACATCCAGCAAAGCTTTAATGAAAAATATAAGAGATGAATATGATAAAACATGGCTTAAAAACACTGATCAGACCTATCAGACAACTGTGTGGGCGTCGCTAATGAGCATTTTGATTGACAAGTCTTTGTCCAACACTCCAGCCTTTCCCATACAGAACTAAAATCATCCAGCTTTTGTGTGTCGGTAATTGGACAAAAAAAGTCACAGACGGCCAGATGGATGACGACAGCGTGTTAATAAAGAAACGGGCAAATTAACAATGTTGGTATATGGAGAAACGAATGAATGGGCGACAGCCAGCTACAGACAGGTCATTCAGCTTGCTAGTTTTTGGTTATACATGGTTAGCTTTAGCTCACTAAGTTTCTCTGACTCTGAATGTTTTGTGTGGGCATTGCCAGAAACATCTGCCTTGTGATGGGTCAGGGGAATGCTTACAGAAGCATTACCCAAGATTAGGACTGCCCAGTTTACATCAAGAGGAAAGAAATATGATGAAATATATCAGGTCATTTATTTATTAGTGAAACATTATTCAAAGGATATACTTAGTAAATATTTACTGTTAGCCTGCAAAAACAAGATTAACCTAATTTGAAAGAAAACAGATTTGGGTCCTTAATAAACCGACACAGCAGACCGTTCAGAGACAAACAGATAAGAGCACTATTAAGATTACTACACTGGTTAGATATCTGTAGCTTTGTGAAACTTTTTTTTTGCCAATGATGTTTTTTACAAGTATATCAGTTTTATTGGAAAAGTGTTGAACTTGCCCCCTGATGAGCTAACGTTAGCTAGCTACACTATATTGCCAAAAGTATTCACGCACCCATCCAAATCATTGAATTCGGGTGTTCCAATCACTTCCATGGCCACAGGTGTATAAAACCAAGCACCTAGGCACGCAGACTGCTTCTACAAACATTTGTGAAAGAAAGGGTCGCTCTTAGGAGCTCAGTGAATTCCAGCGTGGTACTATGATAGGATGCCACCTGCAACAAGTCCAGTCGTGAAATTTTCTGGCTACTAAATATTCCACAGTCAGTGGTATTATAACTAAGTGGAAGCGACTGGGAATGACAGCAACTCAGCCACAAAGTGGTAGGCCACGTAAAATGACAGAGCGGGGTCAGCGGATGCCAAGGCGCATAGTGCGCAGAGGTCGCCAACTTTCGCTACAGACCTCCAAACTTCATGCCTTCAGATTAGCTCAAGAACAGTGCGTAGAGAGCTTCGTGAAATGGGTTTCCATGGCCGAGCAGCTGCATCCAAGCCTTACATCACCAAGCGCAATGCAAAGTGTCGCAGTGGTGTAAAGCATGCCACCACTGGACTCTAGAGCAGTGGAGACGTGTTCTCTTCAACGACGAATCATGCTTCTCTGTCTGGCAATCCTATGAACGAGTCTGGGTTTGGTGGTTGCCAGGAGAACGGTACTTGTCTGACTGCATTGTGCCAAGTATAAAGTTTGGTGGAGGGGGGATTATGGTGTAGGGTTGTTTTTCAGGAGTTGGGCTCGGCCCCTTAGTTCCAGTGAAAGGAACTCTTAATGCTTCAGCAGACCAAGAGATTTTGGACAATTTCATGCTCCCAACTTTGTGGGAACAGTTTGGGGATGGCCCCTTCCTGTTCCAGCATGACTGCGCACCAGTGCACAAAGCAAGGTCCATAAAGACATGGATGAGCAAGTTTGGTGTGGGAGAACTTGACTGGCCTGCACAGAGTTCTGACCTCAACCCAGTAGAACATGAATGACTAGCACATGCTCATGTTTTTAGGCTCACATCCTGCGCTTACCAGCCAATACTGCCCCATGCCTCTATGACTTGAGCCCTATTTGGTGGGGATTGGTTTTATATGAGATAGTGGGGGTGATGTAATTTTTACTTTTCTCAGTGACAGGAAGTCACCTTTGGCCTCACTGTTTTTTTTTGTTTTTTTTTGTAATTTAATGTATGTAATGTTACTATCCTGTCTCATGTGCACAGCTCAGAACATGTAAAAATGACAGAAAAAAGTTTTTTCGGTGAAGTTGACCGCCACGAATTTCCAAGCTAAAAGCAATGCTAGTGACACTGTATTTACTTAAAACAGTGAGGTAAAAGATTAGGATAAATGAAATAACGGCTAAAATTTTAAATGTTTTAACATCTTTTCTACGGAGGGGGGCGGAGGTAAAAAAAAATGATAATAATTTGAGCGAACGTTTAGTTCGTACGCATGTTTTGTTTTATTCGTGGTCACGATTTCTTAAATCATTCCCTCGTTTTCTTTAAACCGTGCGCACGTTTTCTTTACTTCGTGGGTACGTTTTTGTTTATTCGTGATCACGATTTTCTAATTCGTTCACTCGTTTTAATCGTTGTCATGTTTCATTTTTAACTGAACGCACGTTGTTTATTTTTTTGATTCGTGCGCAAAATCAATGTAGCAGAATCAGGTCGTGTTATTTGTCCGGTGCAGAAACAACTAACAGCTCCCTGAGTCTGTCTGACGGGTTTTGATGAGTTAGATTGATGAGATAATGGACAGAGATGCTCATCAGGTCTGATTTTGATTTGGGGCGTTATGGACACTGCAGCTCCTCTTCACAGCGAACGGCCCTCAGATTCATCAGTGCAGCTGCAGTTTGGTGGTGAAATGAAGGAAGACAATAAACTACAACCACAATCTTCACTAAACTGCGCTTTCTAATGATCATATTTAACAGAGATATAGAAGCAGCGCGGCCGCTTAGCGCTGTTTCTGCTCCCGCGACAAGCTGCGGTGTTAGAGACCATCACACAATTACAGGAAGAAATGGTCAGCGTCAACATTTCAACAAACTCAAATTAAACACACACAGAAACATTCATGTGGGGTGAGGTCAAATGGCAAGAGAGTTTAATAGATCTATGGATTAGATGTAGATATATTAATGTGAAGATCAAACGCTGATCATTTCTTCTTGTAATTGTTTGATAATCTCTAACACCGCGATTTGACCGGGAGCAGAAACACCGTGGGCCGTTTGCTGTGAAGAGGAGCTACAGTTTCCTCATAACCCCCCAAATCAAAATCAAACCTTATGAGCATCTCTGTTCATCATCTCATCAGTCTAACTCATCAAAACCCGTCTGACAGTGTCAGCGAGCTGTTATCAAAATACAACCCACGTGCATGCAGTTAAAAATAAAACATGACCAGCGTTAAGAGAAAACGAGAGAACGAATTAGAAAATCGTGATCACGAATTTAAAATTCGTGGCAGATGTTGAGCCTGCTTCTTAAAAGTGGATGTTTCTTTTTACATTATTTTGTCATTTTTATAGGCACACAATAATGTAATGAAATACTGTTCTGTATTTGTTGTTTGGTATATCAAATGCACTGCAGGCACATGTTCACGACTTCATGTCTGTAGCTGGCTCAGCGTAAACAATCTTAAAAAGTCCATGTAATAACTAAAATTGCAGGTAACATGGCAGTAATAGATACGCATAAAGATCACGTTAGGCCATGTCCATGTTTAATATTATTATTATTAAAACATATTCATATTTGTGGGTATGTTTGTTTATTTAGTTCATAAATATGAAAAAAAGAACCATAGAAACAGCAGAGCAGATAGACAGAGAAAGTAAAACTAGTGTTCCCAAACCACAGAGACCTTGCTCTACACTGCAGAAATCAATAAGTGCACCTCATTAAAAAAAAACACTACAGCTCACACCTCAGGTTCTTGTACACCATGGTCACTAATCCTGTTCCTGAATATCTGCTTTCCTGCAAAGTTTAGTTCCAACCTGCATTTAACATGCTTCCCTTCCCTTCCTTAACACAAAAGCATCTGATCGAACCAATGAAGAACTTCTGAGGGAGTTTATTAGCTGGAACAGGTGTGGCAGACTGTGGTTGGAACTAGACTCTACAGGAAGGCACTCTTGGAACAAAGCTGGTGACCACTGATGTACACAATCAAAAAGAAATTCCACGTTTATTTCTCCCCAGACACTTATAAAGTGTCCCTTATTGACATTTATTTAACAGTTTATAAATTTTATGTATCAACTGACATTTCTGTAATATTAAGAGCTTGTTGGTAAAGCATGCAGTGGCCACTGCTTTGACAAGAAAAAAGGAAAAACTGTTTTAGTCTCCATCTATCTTTTAGTATTCAATGCCCCGCATGGCAGCGATGGTGGAGGAGAGTCTGCGGGGCAAAGGTTTGGCAGTCTGGCGGAATTCCTCAGGTTTGGCGCGGAGGAGAGTAGTTATGTTCTGGAGAGTTCTAGAAGTTTGCAGGCCCAATGCGTCCATCACATTGCTCAGATAATCTACGAATAAACACACACAAAATACTTTTATGTACTATTTCACCCCAAAAACCGGAATTAGTCAGTGAACAGCACAGAAATATTTTAATAAATATCCTTATTTTTGGGGAACAAATCCAAATGTTTTCTAAACTTTTAGTAAAGTGGTAAATCAATATCAACAGTGCTCTCAAATCCAGTCATATTAGGTATAGGTCACTACCTCATTCAAACCAAATTCCAAAAAAGTAGGTAAAATGAAAATAAAAACAAGAATCAGTCATTTGTAAACTGTATTTTACAGCAATTTAATTGGAGATATTTAATGTTTTACCTTATCCACTTTGAGTTTTTGTAAAATATATGCCAATTGCAAACTTGATATCTGCGATACATTCCAGAAAAGTTGGGACAGAAACAGTGTAGGACGGGCAACTTTGTAGAATGATCAAAAACACCTGCTGGAACTTTCCACAGGTTAACAGGTGATGCTGTCATAACTGGGTATAAAAGGTGCATTCATGAAAGGTTCAGTTGCTACTTTGTAAAGAATTGCATGAGTGAATAGTCCAACAGATTAAGAACCATGCTTGCAAGGAATGTATTTATTAATCTACAGTCCATACCATTATTAAAAGACTCAGAGGATCCAGAGAAATCCCGGCACTGCATTAAAAACAGACATGCTTCTGTAATGAATATAGCTATAAGGTCTCAGGAATACATTGGAAAATCCTTGTCCATAAAAAACTGTCACTGCATCTACAAATGCAATCTAAGACTTTACTGTGCAAAGCATATAGAGCCATATATTGACAACATGCAGAAACGCCACTGACTTCTCTGGGCTAAAGCATCTGAGAACGACTGACGCAAATGGAAATGTGTGAAGTGGCCTCACAAGTCCCAAGTTCACCACTGTGAAGACATCAATAAGGCTGAGGGGCACAGATGCATTTTGGAGCAAGATTTTTTCAGGGACGTTTCCTGCCTTCTTCAGCAGAACAGTGCCAAGCCTCATTCTGCATGCATTACCACAGCGTGGCTTTAGAGTAAGGGAATGCAGCTGTGAGACTGGCCTGCCTGCAGTCCAGACCTGTCTCTCACTGAAAATGCATGTGCATTATAGAACGCACTGTACAACAATGGAGACCCCAGACTGTTCAGGCAGCTGAAATGTTTTATCAAACAAGAACGAGAAAAAAAAAAATCAATTTTTTTGGATTTTTTTCACTACAATAATTAGCGTCATCATTTTACAAACAATTACTGTCATGAACATGCCCATGTCCCAACATGGTGCAGGCATCAAACTGAGAAAAAGTGAGCATATAACAAAAAAAAAAAACAACAACAAAGTTAGTTTAGTACAACATTAAATATATTGTTTTTGTACTGTTTTTAACTGAATAAAAAAAAGGATTTGCAAATCATTGCTGTCCGTTTCCTTTTTTTCTACTGCCCCAACTTCTTTGGAATTCTGCTTGAATGTGGAAAACAAGGTGAATTTTATCCAAAACATATATTTAAATTAACTCAGCATGCCAGTAAATCTGTAGCTTTCAGCGTCCAGAGATTTTGTATATTGAATGTTTTAAAGTGTGTTATGTATGCTTATTGTCGTTATAATACCGATGTCGGTCACCAGCTGTTTAGCTGCACGGGGACTCAGTTCTGGAATCTGCAGAATGACATCACAATATGTCTGCATGGTTGCCCTGGCAATAGAACCCAGCCAATAATCCGCAGTGTTCTCCAACTCTGGGACATCATCACCTATAACAATGACACCCTGTTAGTGTACATTTACCATCCAGTTTACTTTAAACTTCCACTCACTATATCTACCTACTATATAGGTGTACAATTACAGACTGTAGCCCATCTGTTGATGCACAATTTGTCTGCCACCATCTAACTCAATCATCATTGGTCAGTTTCTGACCACAGGACTGCTTCTGACCTAATACTGTGTGGCATAGTGATGGGTGTGATGAGACACAGCGGTGCTGCTGGGGTTTTAAACGTCAGTATCACTGCTAGGCTAGGAGTGGTCCATCAATCAAAAATATCCAGCCAAATAAAGAAACTGAAACTGACATCAGAAACTGACAACTGATGATTCAGAGCAGTGTTTTTAAACTGTGGGTCCCAGTGTGTGGACGGGTGTGTGGCAAGGAAGCTGAAGTTCTAAAAGAGAAGAGCTAAGTGAGGCACGTTAAGATCATTAATTGTAACCACAGCTTTAGCACTGCTGCTCAGAAAGCGCTAGTGTTTTAAGAATGTGGTTATAAACAGTACTTCTACATATGGGTCCTAGCATGAAAGTGTTCAGGAAACCCTTGTCTAGAGGAGGAGGGTTGGTGACCACTCATTTAAAGCTACACTAGGCAAAGAGATAACTCAGTGAAAACTTGGTGAAGGATGTGTCTTTTGAGGTTGTGATTGAATTATCTACTATTGTCATCTTCATCAGTATAATGCTGATTTTGCATTTGAGACCTAAACATCGAGCCAGATCTTTTTAAGCCTGTGCGTGTGACATTAATATGTAAAATGCATGACATAGTCTGAAAAACTCATGACCTGACTTTTAAATTACTCGTTTAGGCTTTGCCGTGCAACTCATGGCAGCACATGGACACCATATATTAGCATGTTTTTTTCTCCTGACTCTGTAATGCTACTTCTTTCAATTTGAACAAAAAAATCACAAAGTGCAGCTTTAACTGTATAGGAGGCTACAAGGTAGACATTTCTGATAAAGTGGCTAGTATACATCAGTGCACATATGCAACTATACCTTGCTCTGGTGGATAAGGTAGTTTTCCTGTGTGTAAGGCCAGCTCCAGTGCTGGATCCTCCTGAGTGACAAATGGTTCCAAATGCAGGGGCAGAGACATGATATACTGCCCAATCTAAAATGCACAATTTCACATATAACATTGTGTGAATATTTGCAGGGTTTGCTGTAATATTACTGAAATATGGTATTGTACCCCTGAATAGGAGATAACAATAGACAACTTTAAACATGGTTTTATCTTTGCCATATTATCAACAAGTAAACCAGCGAGAGCTCCCCATGGATGTTTGCAGACCAAAGAATATTTAGGGTTGTTTTAAAGAATTATTAACACTATTCTATAGATACATACAGTACTGTGCAAAATTTTAGGCACCAAATTAGAATTAAAAACTGTTTATTTGGTCAGAAAGCATTTATTTGTTCAGAAAAAAACACTAATAGAACAAATACAAATAAAATCAATACAATAATTACTGATTTTACATATGTTAGAGTTTTCGTTTAAACACTTCCAAAACTCTCTTCATAGCAGCCCAGCGTTATTTGTAGTTATGATCCAATACCTGTTTTGTCCAATCAATGCTTTATTACGTAAAACAGAGTGTGCTTGTGACTGAGCTGAACAAATCCATGTGATGGCTGGAGGTGTCCAGGAGAAGTCCACAACCAAACTTTGTTCTTCAAAGTTATCAACTACTTTTTGAAATTACAAAAATCTTTTACTTTGTATGATATTTGTTTATTGACAAAAAAAAACACATTTTGCAAAGATAAATGGTTTTAAACAATGTGCTTAGGTGTCTATGAATTTTTACAGTAATATATAAACTGTAAAGTATTTGTTTTAGATATATATTAACTGACTACTATAAACTTATCAGTAATGACAGCACTTTTTGAAAATAAATATGTAGAAAATATAAAACTTTGTGTATTCACATGTATAGTGTATTTAATGTTGATGGCACAAAGTATACAACACATAGATTTGTGTATGTGTGAGTGAGTGTCTTACATTAGTAATGCACTCCTGCGGCGAGAGGCTGAATGTCGGTAGGTTTTCAGTGAGTGTTTCGCCCAGACCAGCAGAACTCCAACCCTATAAGCACAGAGAGTTGAGCATTACCCTTCCTCTCCTGCATTCTCACTCACAGACTGACCAAGCCAAACACACACATGCACTACACACCTCTGGCTTACTGATGAGGCAGAGCTGGTGTTTGATTTGCAGAAACACTGAGTCGAACGCAAGCTGATTTGCCTGCTGGTTCAGACGGGTCAGAGCGGCACGAGTCTCAGACAGCAGGCTGGAGTTTCCAGTGCCTTTCTCCTACAACACACACATCAAATACATGCCTATTTGTTCATTTATATTGTTGGAAGCCCTTCATGCAATTAATCAATTAAACTCGATCACTCAATTAAAAAACACATTTCACCAGTGAAAATGTACCTTTAAAATCAATCAAAAGTAATTCGTAGTCAGACTGCAGGATAATAAAGCACTGTGTCACCGGTTACCAACTTCTGTTTTTTTTTGATGAAGCCTTTTTAAAAACTTACTAGTTTATCATAGAGGTAACTACCAACATACTTGCATGTAATGTGAACTTGTGCACTAGGGGCAGTGTCCAAACCAGAAAGTACAAACATTTTTGTAATATTATTATTTAGAAGGCGTACATAAATGTTTTTAACGTCTCACTTTTCTGCCAGCCAATCCTCACACTGCCTATTTGATTTTTGATAGTTCTGATTTGACTTTGTACTGTTTTTGTACTGGATACCCAATCTGTGGAGTTGTGTGTCACGTAAATCGGCACTAGGGCTGCACGATTAATCGTATTTTTATCGTTATTGCGATATGAGGTTCCAGGATAAACACATCGAAAGAGCCACGATAACGCCTTGAATAACAGCAAGCTCAAATTGCATCACCTGCGTGCATTATCCACGTGCAGCAACAGAGGGAGCTCTTCACACTGCAGACTATGATCACGTGACGCAAGTAGGCAGGAGGCAGAGCGAGGTGAACACGCTCACCAGACACGCGATTTCTTAGTCCGGAAAAAAAATGAGCACAGCCAGGCCAAGTGCTGAAAAATCTTCGAGAAGCGAAGACGTAAGTGAGGAGGAATTGGTTCCAAAAAGGGGAGGCATGTCTGTAGTCTGGGAATACTTTGGTTTTAGTCGAGATGACCATGCTCCAAGGTTTTGTGCAAAGAATGTCGAGCCGTTGTGGCTACAGTCACAAGGAACACGACAAACCTTTACCATCACTTAAAACACAACCACAAACAACTGTATGAGGAGTGTTCAGCAAAAAAGTCTGAAAGCACGGTTAGATCTGCCTCTTGTCACGATGCAGCTCCAGGTGTAAAACAAAAATCCATTGCTCAAATGTTCGAAAGCGTGACTCCATATGATCTGGGCTCCACAAATATGATCAAAGCCACAGAACTGAATGACTGGCCTAGACTTCAGTGTTTTGGACACAGACTCCACCTTGCCATTGGTAAGTGTTAACTTTAATTTCAACCATTTTCCTAGCAATTTTGTATATTCTCTAATTACAGAATGCCCAACAAGATGGGGCACAAGGCAGCGATGGACAGAATACTGGAGCAGCAGCGGGCCCTGTCACAGGTTCTCTCAGAGAACAGAAATACACGACATCTGGTTCCTTCATGGCAGGACATAGAGGTCCTTGAATCAGTAAACAGGGCACTGAAGCCACTCCAGGAGTTTACCGACGCCCTGTCTGGAGAAGATTATGTGAGCATATCTTATGTGAGAAGATAAGGAGGACAGTGAGCTGACACGCTCAGTCAAAGCCAAAATTCTGGACTACGTGGAGAGGAAGTATGAGGATTCTGCAACACAGTCTCTACTGGACACTTCTTCTTTCCTGGATCCCAGGTTCAAGGCAGACTACATCAGTGCTGAAAACCTCATAGAAATCAAGGCAAAATTGATGGCTGAAATGAAGACAACACAAATGGTAAAAATCCCTTAATGCTGTGAATGATCTAGACACGACTTTAGACATTTTCTCATGCTGCAAATAACCTTCACTATGTCTTTTCTAGAAGAGGGAACCTGTTTTTGATGCCACAGCAGAAGTACAGACAGGGTCTCATCAGAGCCATGGAGCACCAAGTGAGAAGAGGAAAAAGAGGACTTTAGGAAGCCTGTTACAGTCTGCCATCCCCTCTACATCCTCCTCTGTACCACTACCCACTGACCAAGCTGTTGTCGAATCAGAATTTAACAGCTATCTTCTCATGCCCACAATTGACAGTGAGGGAGATCCTTTGGCCTGGTGAAGGAAGCACCACCTCAACTTTCCTCATTTAAGTGTGCTTGCCAGGAAGTATCTTTGTGTGCCTGCCACTAGTGCACCCTCTGAAAGACTTTTCAGTGCCTCAGGAAATGTAGTGACCTGTCAGCGTTCATTCTTTAGAGATGAAACGGTTACCGGTTTCACGGTAAACCGCGGTAAAATTAATGACGGTTAGTAGTACCGTTTGAACTTTAAAGTATCGTTAAAACCGCGGTCGATTACCGCGGTGTGAAAACTCGGAGATTCGGAGATATTTCAGCCTTCTAAGAAGACCAAGTCTGACGTTTGGTCATATTTTGGGTTTTATAAGGATGCAGAAGGAAAGTTAATTGAAGATGACCACCCTGTCTGCAGAACATGCCGAAAGAAAATGGCGGCGAATGGGGGCAACACATCAAACTTTACGAGTCATTTCGCGACCACCACCCGCTACTTTTTAGAGAATGCAAGGTTAACTTTAACGTAGAAGTCTGTGGGGACTTCGAAATAGAAGAAATGTCACGGTTTGTGTGGTTTAACCTATGCTTATGGTTCGTTAATCATATAAAATGAAGCTTTTAGCGTCAAAAAAAGAAAAACAATCGGTGAATCAACTGTGAATCGAAACTAAAGCTTTTAACACATTTCTGTGGAGCAGTGTCTCTAAAATAAGCTCTGAGTTAACAGTCACATGAGCTCCTGAACGAGACGCTGCAGAGGTTCAATCTGCACAGCTCCCCTTCCTCGTCTCGCTTGCAGTGTTTACTGTCTGAGAGGAGAATAACCGTCTCAAATCACTCAGTGTCCCCTACATAGAGCGCTACTGTTCAAACAAACACGATCATCATTAACAAGCAGCTGAGTTTTAAATAGGGGATTTGTAACCTGTTGTTAAGGTTGATTACAGATGACTTAGTCGAACGTTTCTTGCACTCTTTGGGTGAAGGATTTGCTATTTCATGATCTACGAAGTGCAATACATAGGGAAGATAGTGTGCTTTGAGACGGGACCTCGCGCGAGTAAACGCTGCGTGCTGCTTTTATGAAAAGCAGAGTTTCAGAGATTAAACTGTAGCAGTGTTTCTGCCGCAGCTCAGATGCATGTTAATTTTAAGTTATGTTTTAGTAGTTAATGCTTTTAGAGAAGCAGCTCCACAGCTGAAGACACACAACGGCACAATATGCTGCAGTTGCAGTTCGGACAGAAATCCCCCGAGTGCAGCACTTCTTAGAAGTAGTAATTTTCCATTAAGACCCACCTCAGAGTTGGTCGAGATTTAATTCTCTATGCAGGGAAATCCCTAGTTATTGTAATTAATAATAATAATAATAATAATAATAATAATAAGAAGAAGAAGAAGAAGAAGAAGAAGAAAAAGAATAATAACAGTAATAATAATAATAATAATAACTGTAATAATAATACATTTGCTATTCTTTTGTTTACAGAGTATTACAAGTATTGTAAGTAATATAAAAGTAATACTAAAAATGTATTGACCTTATTTTTTAATGTTTATGCAAACAAAAAGTGCATATTGCTGCCAATTCTATTTGTGTTAATATAAAAGTTGGTGAAATGAGTTTCAGTTTGTGTATCAGTATTTATTTTTTTATTTATTTTACTTTTCAAAACATTTGAACAATATCGCGATAATAATCGCGATAATTTTGGTCATGATAATCGTGATATGAAATTTTTATATCGTTTCATCTCTATCATGCTTAAAACCAAGCAAAGTAAATATGCTGGTTTTCTTGGCCAAAAATCTTTAAGATTTTAGGCATTAAGTTGATATGATAATTTGTCCAATGTGTGACTAACTGTAAAAAAAAGATATTAGGTAGAAGTCAGGAGAATTAATAGAAAAAATGAAAATGGATCGCTGAGTTTATTTGCAGTCTGTTGGCATGTTTTTGGGTTTATTTTTTAAATATTTTCTGACTGTAGAGTTCTACACTGTAAACAATGGTTTGTCCGTTCAACCTAAAAAATTACTTCATGTGGTAACAAGATTGAACTGTGTTTAATCGACTTTAAATAAATACTTTTAATGGTTCATTCAAAGTATTTATTTGAGTTAAATAAACCCAGTTCTCTGTTACAAAATGAAGTCTTTTTTTTTTAGGTTGTATGGGCAAACAGCATTTTACAGAGTATACCTAACTTTTAGAAAAACTGCAAGTTTTTGTGCTTTTATGTTGGCTATGTTGCTTCTGTGATGCTGAGCTCTAGCTATAATAAGTTTGTGCTATTACCAGAAAAGAGAGCTTTTGTTTGTGTTTTATTTATTTTTTAACCTTATTTTTCTATTATTTACTTATGTATTTATTCATTTGTTTTATTATTATTTATTATTACTGAATGTTGAGAGAACACAGCCTTGCACCGCACAAAATGTTTGCACTATTATTACTTGTATACGTGTTATCTAATTTTAGATTTTATCTATTGTTGAATAAACCTGAAAAATATTTGGAATTATTCTGGATTCATTACACAGTAAAAAACAAAACAAATGAACGTGCTGCTGTTCAGAGAGATACTAAATTTCTGTATTTTAATCTTAATTTATCGTGTTTCACATCGATATTGGGATATCCAACAACGTTATCGCACATCGCAATTCTAGTCCATATCGTGCACCCCTAATCGGCACTCACAATACGTATAGATTTTGGAGGTGTATACATTGTTCTACTACGCTTACCTATGAACCCCTTCTTTGAGTCTCAATGCAGACATGTTTACATTCATCATCCCAGTAATATAAATCAGTCTTTAGTTTGCTACTTTTTTTGTTTTACTGTTCTGTAGGAAGGACAGCACTAATAAACACATAGACCATATCAATGATGGATTAATCTACATTATAGTATTTTTTTGGATGTCAGTGTAAAGTAGGAAATGTACTTTGGCAAAATGATTTAGCACAATGGTTGTCTAACGAGTCTTCAGGGACCACTAAATGGTCCAGATTGTTTGCTCCAATCTAACTTGCAACACAGAGACAGAGCAAAAATGTGAACAGTCTGTGAGTCCCTGAAGACCAGTCTGAGTACCACTGTTTTACCACACTTGGCAAAATAAAGCTGCTGCCTATTGAAGAAAACTGATTTAATAAGACAAACCTTGAGGGTGTGGAGGGTTTCCAGCAAATTATTATAATCTGCTGTGCTGCTCTGCTGTAGGTAATTATATTCCTGCCATGGGTTCTTCTGGCCCCTCCTCTCAGCCCCACCCTCTTGCAAACCACTCAGGCTCCTTGGGTTAAACCCCTCCCACAGAAAACGACCAGCCTTTCCTAGGATCCTACCAATTACCAATCATGCAGTGAAGGGAAAAAAGAACATGGCAGTTATGTGATATGAGAAACTCCACAACAAAAATTTCATGTGTTAAAATTTTTAATAATCAAATTAATAATAAAGATGCAAAATTTGCATACGGAATCCAACAATTAGTGTGTGTGCATGTGTGTTTGTAGGTCTTACTTGTTTGAAAGCTGCTGCTCAAAAGCACCACACTGTCGGAGAAGCTCCCCACAGGTAGCAATTATTCTACGATTAAATAAAAAAAATAAAAATCCTTGAACACTTCAAAAATAAATAATAACCAAATACCAATTTGGCCAGTCACTGTATGTTTTATCCAGACCTGAAAATGCACAATATAGAGAGCCAATCCTCGACCCCTCCAGAGCACATTTTATTCTGTTTCAGCTCCAGTCACACCTTTTTAAGGTAAGCAAGGGTTGTAGAATTTGGATCACCCCCTTGTGTGTTTTGAAATGACACACAACTAAAATGTGGATGGCTGAAGAACTGGCCCAAAACACTTGATGGAAAAAATTTTGGAACATATAGTGCCCACCTGATAGAATTCTGGAAAGCCGTCCAATCTTCAGTGAACACCTCAGAGGTGGGCGTGTCCTCTAGTCTATACTTCTTTCTGATTGACTGAAGAGTCACAGAGAAATCTGACACATACCTGATAGAGAGGAGACAAAGAGAGAAGTTTAGACAAATCTTAAGAGCAATGAATCATCAGATGTACAAATAATCCTGGAATTGTGTGCCCAGAATCTCACAGTGTATAAGTATTAGGCTTAACAGTGTCCTAAATGTTGGCTTCATTCAGTCCCACGTCTGTACGTTGAATCTCATGTTGTATTCTCAGCCCAGCAATGAATTGTATTCTGTGTGTTCATACTTGCTGAACAGAGCCCGGAGTGCTTTGATGAGGCCACACACTCCGAGTCCATCTGTGAGTTTCACACAGCGATCCACAGCAGCCGCTGCTAGTCCAAACACCTTCTGTACAGAGTGTGTGAGCTCCAATACACAATCCAATACCTCCCCACGCTCCTACACACGCACACAAAACAAAGACATGTGAGTTATAAAATACTCAGGTATAAATTATGTTTAAATTCCACTTTATTGAACTTAATAATCTCAATAACTTTCCATAATGCACTGTTCTGACACACACACGCATATATGTGTGTGTGTGTGTAAAATGTATGTACGTATGTATGTATAAGCAGACACATATTTGAGAAGTAGTCAAGACATCTGGACCTCTGGTTTAACATGAAGACCACTCATATGAGAAACTTTATCAGAACTGAGTTGTGAAAAAGTCCCTGCTGTTTAAATCTCTGTGGTTGGTTCACACCTATGATGTCATGAAATATGCAACGTCACAGGACAGCTGGTACAGTCTGGTGGCCTGAACTGGTGCGAAACTGCTGGGGTGAAGATGCTAACAGAACTCAATGTACAGCGGTATTTGAAGATGGAGACCAATTGATTAAGTTGTAACAGAGGTAGAGAAGCTAAGGATAGCCTATATTTCAGCATGTGTTAAATGATACATTTAATGAAAGCTCACAAGATATGCAGTTGATCCACATATGGAAGTTTGCAGGTATAAATTCTCAGCTAGTTCAATTCTGGCTAAGCCTTGGGCTACATGGAGCAGATCTATAAACGGCTAGAATAGAATTCAAATGTATGTTTCTGTTTTGAAACAGTTAAGATGACTGGTTTGGAGCACTGGCAGAAAAAGCCACAGTGGCACCAACCTTACAGCTGGGGCAAAACTATCCACCATTGTTGTGGCACACGTCAAATAAGCAAAGTATACATGGGGCAGTCATCGTTGCACACATACACATAGTTAAAAGTTAGTATAACTTTGCCTTAGACTTTGCAGTACAATAAAGGGGGGGTTAACTTTTTAAAGTCTTATGATCTTGTAAGTGTGAACCAACCACAGTGAATGATTCTATCACTCATTTAAACCAATGAAGCTCATCAGATGTGTGGTGACATGTCTTCAAGATAATATCAGTTAGGACCATCATGTCCATTAAATGTCAGCATGTGATGACTTGGACGATTAAAAGGCATATAAATAATGGCTAGTAACAATTTAATTGTTTTTTCCCCCCTCATTGTATGGAACTATTAAAAGACAGGTATAAAGGAGCCAAATTAGCAGATCAGCCATCTTAATTCCTAGTGTTTGATAATTAGTAAGTCCCAACTGATGAAAGACAGATTGAGCTCAAATAAACAAACATTTCTCACTGCTGTCATCTAAACATGTTACAGCACCAAGTCAGAAGTTAGAACTTGTTTTTATAAGACCCATGACATCTCAATAAATATATTTTTATATTAATTGTGGTCGGCCAATTCAAGTAATTGCAAATGGTCAATGTAATTATTGTGACAGGTCTAATATCAGTTCTATCATCTTGACTTACACCTATTGTGTTGGTGTATGTGCTCACCAGTGGAACAGCACTAAGCTGGATTAGTAGGTTTGTCTCTTCAAGGTCTCCATACTGCATCTGATAACTTTTATATGGTGAATAGACAGATGACACCAGCTCACCCACCTTCAACAGGTTGCACTCACCTAGAATAAACAATTGTGTTCACACAAAAAGAAACAGGAAGATAATTATTGCACAATATCACATACATTCATTGATTTCATCCATCTAAAACACAAGGATCCTGTACAATTTTCCTTTCAGACATCATCCAGCCTGACGTTAACTACCGCACATACTGAGGTGAGGCTGCATTGCAGTTTCCAGGCTGCGGCTGAAGTTGGCAGCTGTCTGGTGGAGCTCCAGGAGGGTGTCTAGACGACTCTCTGCAGGGCAACGGTCCAGTGCTGCTGTAATGGTTTCTGGAATGGATGGAACCATGGCACCAAGGGTTTGGATCATCAGTACAGTCACCACCTCATAGGGGTTCTTAAAGACCTGCTCAAACACACACAAAAATAGACAGAAACATATTTTAAATGCTATATTTGGTTACACATAAAGGACCACTTTATTAACGGGAACCAAATTTAGTACATGAAGAGTTCAGTACAGCGATACAGTTCACTGTTCTATATCTATTACATCATTTCACTTATAAGAGAAGATTCATCTCTTCAAAACAGCCCAACTGACAGCTGAAATGGAGCAGTATTCAACAAGCTGTTTAGACTTACAGACACCTGCAGTCTGCAGTCCACACAAGTCTATGAACACATCCAAGGCTGTCTAATATTCGAACAAAATAAACTGGCATTTTTATCCTAGATCTCCATTGGTGGCCATCAAGCTGATACTTTAGGGTTTTAACCTTTTAAGACCTAGGCCTAAAAGAGTACCTTTGCTTGACTTTAGTGGAAAACAAGAGTGCCAAGTGATTTCTCTATAATGTGTGGCTAAGTTTCGACAGTCAAAAATAGGTTACACTCTTTAAAATCACATACATATTCATTGGTTTTTGGTTTGGATCCAATAGCTGATGGGAATGATGCAGAAGTATATCTTCATTTCAAACTGAAGTCTCATCTTCAGAACGCAGCAGTGAGTGTTTCTGACCAGAAACCAGTGGCATGTTAAATTTAGTAGATTGGTCCTGCAATTGTGCCTTTATAGGCAAACTGAGAATCTCTTCACTCTTCATAAGCATTACAGCAATCTGAATGATCTGCACATGGAAGGCAAGCTGCTTTCTCCTGCAGTTTCAAACCAATCTAGTAGAGTCTTAATATGCACATTTAATTTCCAGTAAAAACCGTTGTGATGTTTTGGGCTGTAGATTATCAGATATTCCATTAGTGCCTCCACTGACACTCATCCATCTGATATTTCACATTGTGGTATGTTACAACTACACAACTATAGGGCTATGCAGACTGTAAGCTATGTATGCTATGTGTGTGTTTGTGTACCTGGCTGGTCCACTGTAGTTGTGTGTGCCAAGTTGAGAGAAGCGTGTCGTAGAACTCAGAGAGCTGCTGTTTGAGAGGAGCATCCGACTGACACACACTCTCCCACAAATTCAACAGCTGCACCTAAAACATACACAGAAACATACAAACACACACACAAAATGTGGACAACTACAGAAACAGTACACAGTATTTTCTCTAGTCTAAATCGAAGAAATTAAAGCTACACCAAAACCACAATAACAATTATAGCATTAACAAACAAATACATTGAATCTGTGCATGTGCATTCTTAAGCATTACCTTGTGGCATTTGTAGTAGTAAGCCAGTAGTTGAGGCATTCTGTCCATTTCTGTGAAAACTCTTACAAATAGCTTGGCTTGATCTGAAAATGAAAAGCACGGGCAATAAAATGAGATGTTCTGGATCATCCACACATTAATCAAAGGTCACACTACTCAATACTAAGCATTGGCTAGAGAGGTATAAAGCTCCGCAACACTGGACAATGGAGCAATAGAACTGTGTTCGCTGGGGTAGTCTTGCAGGGCCAGACAAGATCTCTTAATGAGAACACACGTCAGTAGACAACCTGTTTAAGTTTTGATGCTGAACTGTGTCAAAATCGCTAACAAAGGTACATCTCCACTAACCCCCCCACCCCAATTCCTGTAGTCTACGTCTTATAATGGCTGAAATACAATCAATAACACAAGCGAAGCAATCTTTATTAATCTTTATATCATTATCTATTAGAAATGCTTTTCCCTTGGAAGAGATGATGTTTATATTTACTGCTTGTAAATTTTTTTCACTGCACACACTACACATATCTACATGCTTAATCTGAATTTAAGGACTTTCATGTTAACTTGCATTATATTCGCGGGCTACTGATAGACATGTTGTCTGTCAGATAATGCTGACGATCACACCATCACTTCCTACTTTAAGCTCTGTCTGCACAAGGTGCTGAAATTTCACACTTGGTTGTTCACACCCTAATCAGTTTACACCCCCACCCACATTTAGCCCAAAACTTTTAATGGTTATCCCAGACATTCTCGTTACAAGGTCAGACTATCTCTAGAGTGATGTAACACTACTGAATACCACTGATGAGTTGGCGTGGTGTTTGTGATTCTGGACCAACATCATGCAACATCATGCAACATCATGCAACATCAGTACTTTTGCTTTTGTGGCTGAAAGCAATCAAATTCTACCAACAATGTTCCAACATTTAGTGCAAAGCCTTCCCAGAAGACTTGTTCTTACTGCAGCAAAGGGGGAACAAATGTCTTATTAATACTCTTGATTTCAAAAGCAACATTGGATAAGCGGGTGTCTACAAACTTTTGGACATAAAGTGTATGTTAAGGCTCACTGTCCAAGATCACTGCGTGTCTCACCTGTAGAGAGTGTGTTGAAGGTGGAGACTATCTGTGGGCTGGCGAGAGCCTCCAGTCTGTTTTTAAGAGCCTCTAGCTGCACGCACTTCTCACTGTAGTCTGGAGTATCCACCAGCATGGCCAGACTGCTCTGCATTGCTGCCAACTTACTGCTGATCACAGCCACATCCTACAAGCACACACACACACACACACACACACACGTGCACACACACACACACACACACACACACACGTGCACACACACACACACACACACACACCTCAGGTTAACCAACTGCGATAAATATCATTTTAACACCGCACACACAGCGGATTGGTAAGAGGCACATGTGCGCACATGCTCACATGCACACGCACCTGTGTCTTGAACGTTTCCTCAATGTCTGCACTGAGAGTGCTCCATTTATCTGCTTCCTGTAGAGCTTCAGCTGCTAACTGCATCCTGGACTTCACTTGATCAATCTCCACCAACACCTACAGCACAAATTCACAAACAAAAAAAAAAATAGGAGAGATAAGACAAGCTCAGAAAATGAAGCAGACACATACAGTGAGGGAAACAAGTATTTAAAAACATTTGTTTTTGTTAATTCATATACTCTCAGTGCATACATGCACTTTAAATTTACATACATAATGATCCTTTGACTTTGTATGTGTATATGAAAACAAAAATGTATGTATTCTTAAGCATAAACAAATATTTGTTTAGAAAATTGATAGGGGAAAAAGGTATTTGAATGCTACAGGTGTATAAAATCAAGCACCTAGCTATGCTGTCTGCCTTTACAAACATCTGTGAAAAAATGAGTCATTCTAAAGAGCTCACTGAATTCAGCGTGGTACTGTAATAAGATGCCACCAGCCAGTTTGTAAAATATCTTCCCTCCTAGATATTCCACGATCAACTGTGAGTGAGTATTAGTGAAAAGTGAAAGCGTTTAGGAACAACAGCAACTCACTGGACTCACTGGAGCGGTGGAAATGTATTCTGTGAAGTGATAAATCACACTTCTCTCTGGCAGTCTGACGGACGAGTCTGGCGAATGCCAGGAGAAGTTACCTGCTTAACTGCATTGTGCCAACTGTAATGTTTGGTTTAGGAGGGATAATGCTATGTGGTTGTTTTTCAGGGGTTGGCCTAGCGCCCTTAGCTCTAGTGAAGGGAAATCTTAATGATTCAGCATCCAAAAACATTTTGAACAATTGTATGGTTCCAACTTTGTGGGAACAGTTTGGGGAAGAACCTTTTCTGTTCCAGCATGACTGAGCCCCAGGGCACAAAGCACGTCCACAAAGGCATGGCTGGGTGAGTTTGGTATGGAAGAGCTTGACTGGCCTGCACAGAGCTCTGACCTCAACCACATTGGACACCTTTGGGATGAACTAGAATGGAGACTGTGAGCCAGGCCCTCTCGTCCAACATCAGCTCTTCTGAATGAATGGGCAAAAATTCCCTAAGGCACACTCCAAAATCTTGTAGAACGTTTCCCAGAAGGGACATAACACACTTTGTTAGCCTCCTTTTACCCTGTTCTTCAGTGGTCAGGACTCCCATGGACGCTCACAGAGCAGGTACTATTTGGTTGGTGGATCATTCTCAGCACTGCAGTAACACTGACGTGGTGGTGGTGTGTTAGTGTGTGTTGTGCTGGTCTGAGTGGATCAGACACAGCAGTGCTGCTGGAGGTTTTAAACACCTCAGTGTCACTGCTGGACTGAGAATAGTCCACCAACCAAAAATGTCCAGCCAACAGCGTCCTGTGTGCAGCGTCCTGTGACCACTGATGAAGGACTGGAGGATGACCAACACAAACTGTGTAGCAGCAGATGAGCGTCTCTGACTTTACATCTACAAGGTGGACTGACAAGGTAGGAGTGTCCAATAGAGTGGCAGTGAGTGGACACAGTGTTTAAAAACTCAGACCACCGCAACACACACTAACACACCACCACCACATCAGTGTTACTGCAGTGCTGAGAATGATCCACCACCCAAATAGTACTTGCTCTGTGAGGGTCCATGGGGTTCCTGACCACTGAAGAACAGGGTAAAAGGGGGCTAACAAAGTATGCAGAGAAACAGATGGACTATAGTCTGTAATTGTAGAACTACAAAGTGCACTATACAGTAAGTAGAGCTGATGAAATGAACAATGAGCGTAGAAACAAGGAGGTGGTCATAATATTATGGCTGTTTGGTGTGTGTGCATATTATATATATATATATGTATATATATATATAATTCTAGATTACTGCTGAAAAAAATTGTTCCTGTACAAACTGCACCTGTTGCTGTTAGAAAAAATGTTGTCACTGTTTGGGAAAATTTCATGCAACAAGTAGCACTTACGGTAAAGGTGACGAAACTTCCTAAAGTTCTCAGAGGCAAAATAATTAAACAACACTCAAATGGAAAAAGCTACAGAGCTTAGACCCCAAAAACAGCCTTGTCAATACAACATCCCCAGAAAGGTGAACCTCAAAACACGCTCAGCCTAATGAGAAGAACGAAGAGAGAAGCCAGCAGTTACTCAAAAAAGAGTTGCAGAATGGCCTAAAATCAGCAGGAACAACTTTTACACAGAGAACAGTAAGCCATGACCTGCACCACAAACATCTCTGTTCCTATATCTTATGCAAAACTCCTCTGCTAAAAAAAGAAGTACACAGAATAAAAGTAGCACAGAGAAGCACGTCTTAAATTTACACATAAGCATTTAGCAAAATCAAAACTCTCCTGGAACAAAGTACTCTGCTCAGATGAGGCCAAAACAGAACTCTTTGGCAATAATTCAAGACAAAGGAATGTGCCAAAATTGAACCATAATGCTGCAAAAAGCCAACTAACTTCTTACCGTAGATGTCTAGAAGCTATAATTGCCAACAATGACCTTGCAGTATTAATGTTAATAATCAGTTAATCATCTGTGTTTTCTACTTGAACAGAAGTGATGTATGTATGTTTGGGTTCCTACCTGCATGGACTGAACTGTGTCCTGTTCAAATTTCTTGATGTCTTCCTTCACCATAATCATCTGATCCTTTAGGAATGAAGCCTCCTGCTTCAGAGCTTCTATATCTCGCAGCACCCGTGGCATGTTTTGCAGAGCCTGAATGCTGCTCTCTGTACATGTGCGCATTAATACAGACATAGGAAAAAGGAAAACAAAGACAGACTGAGTAATCAGAAACAAGTTTTAGTAAGAATCATTTACAAAAATCATAGTTATTTATAAGTAAAGGTGGGCGATCTGTCAAAAATATTACCATAATACATATGTATCAATTTTAGATTGTCTAGTTTTGCAAAAATGTTGGAAATGACAAAATGTACCAGCAACCGTAGAGTCACATTTACAAACCTTTAAAAATATTTTGTTTTTATTTATTCACTGTTTGCATTTTCTGGAGGAAAAAACCAGACAATTAAATACAAACCCAATTCCAAAAAAATTGGGACCATATGTGAAATGCTAATAAAAACAGTAAGCAGTATTTAGTACATTCTATTTGATTTATATTAAATTGAAAATGTTACAACACAATATTTTACGTTTTGAATATATGTTCATTCCAAATTTGATGCCTGAAACTTTTTGTTTCAAAAAAGCTGGGACAGGAGAATGTTTACCACTACGTTATATCACCTTTCCTTTTACCAACACTTAAAAATCATTTGGGGACTGAAGACACACACTGATTTAGTTTTGACAGCAGAAGTTTTAGCAGTTCTTGTTATACAAATCTTTAGTGGTGCAATCGTACAGGTCTTTTATTGTTGTGTTGCATACATTTAAAGGGGAGACAGATCTGGGCTGCAGAAAGGCCAGTCTGGCACCCGCATTCTCTGATTACAGAGCAATGCTGTTTTAACACATACAGAATGCGGCTTGCCACTGTCATGCTGAAATAAGCTTTGACGTCTATAAAAAGATGTTATCTAGAAGGCAGCATATGTGGCTGTAAAATGTGTAATGTCTTTCAGCGTAAATGGTGCCTTCATAGTTGTGCAGCTTACTCACTAATACTCTCCCATACCATAACAGACCCTGGCCTTTGAACTTTACGTTGGTCTAGATAGTCCTTTACTTCTTTGGCCCAGAGAACAAAATTTCCAGTATTTCCATAAATATTGTGAAAGGTTGACTTATCAGACTACAAAATAGGTTTCCACTGCACATCAGTACATTTTAGATGAGCCTGAGCCCAGAGAGGTTGGCAGCGTTTCTGGATGTTTTTAGCAAATGACTTCCGTTGTGCATAGTGCAGTCATAACTTGCATTTGTGGATGCAGTAACGGATTGTGTTTGACAGCGGTTTGTCAATATATTCCAGAGCCCATCCAGTGATATGCATCAGAGAAGCATGCTGGTTTGTTAACGCAGTGCTGTCTGAGGGGCCGAAGGTCATGAGCATTCAGCTGTGGTTTTTGGTTTTACCCTTTACACACAGAGATTTCTCCAGGTTCCCTGTATCTGTTTATGTTATCATATATGCAATGTAGAGGCTGAAATACCTGAAATCCTTGCAATCACTTGCTGAAGAATGTTATTTTTAAACTGCTGGATTTTTGCTATTAACATAAAAATATACATGCCATAGGCATATTACTTTGTGATTTCATACATAAAAAGTTACCAGATTCCATATTCTTTTGAAAACCTCCCTTTTTTGAGCCCTCAATGTTGAAAATGGAAGTGCTACCTTTTATAGAGTTCTTAACTGTAGGATTGTAATGTTTATACTTGTTTGTTTATACCATTCTAACTGTGTATTAGAAACTTACTGTAGAAAGCCAATGACATCACTGAACACAGTAAAGTGAAGCCACTCAGCTATCATAATAGCATGTCTTGTTACCCACTGTAAAAGGGAATGCCCATGCAATCTACAAAAAGGCAAACAAATTAGCTTTTTGGTTTTCAAATTTTGCAAGTATTAATATATTCATACAATGATGCAGCTGACGTAAACCTCCTGAAAAGTCATGTGTACATTTTACAGAAATGTTAACATCCTGAATGACAATATTTACCTTCTATTGAGTTGTTAACCTCTTGAATAAACAGCTGGAGCTTCATGACGAGAGTTGCCGCATGTGCGTCTGCTCTGCCGGGCGCTTCTTGCTGAGCCACTTTAAATGCGCCATTCACCCACTCCTTCACATCAAAATCATCCGCGAGAAACTTTGAGAAGTCCATGTTTATGAGCTCTGCACTGGGAACCACTAGCTACCTCAGCTCAACCATCTTCAAAAGCTGCTGGTTGCAGAGAGAAAATGACAAAATATTCTAAGACTGAAGCAGACTGCCAAACAGCATTGTATGAGTACATGCATTCCTAACACATAAGCATAAAGGATTGGAACTTTTGGTAACACTTTACTATAGGGCACTGTTTAGAAGGCTACATGACACCTACATAAGCGCTTCATTACAACTGACACAAACATACATAAACATTTATAAATACTTATTCCAAAAGGCGTCAGCTGTCATAAAGATTGCTTTTGTCAACTTTAATGTCAACTTGACATAACCATTATGTCAAAAGACATAGATTTTTGGTGACATTAGGTTGTGTCATGACATTTTCTGAGGTGAAATGACATAGCATGTTATGACAGCTGGCTTGAAAAAATAAGGCAGTTGGTAAAACTGAACAAAAGTGAGGTCGTTCTGATATCACAGAGTGAGATGTGGCCCTGGGTCAACAGGGGAGGTGCTTAAATTGAATTTGTTCAACCAATCACAAAGTTCATGCTATGACATCACCACATACGACCAGGTCTTTCTTTTTATTCTATTTTTAACTGCAACTGAGTGAAGCTCCAGCTCATCTGCACCTCCTAGTGAAGGTAAGCAATTTCTTTTAGAAGTTCCTTGTTTTACATCATCCATGCTCAATAATATAGTCCTGGCTTTACTTACACAGTTAAACATTTACTGTAGGTGGCTTTAGTTTGGTTTAGTTGCTAATGCTAGGTAGTTAAGCTATCTGGCCAGCCTAATGGTAAGCCTGAATACTCATTTAATGCCCTTTTTTCACTGTTAAAGTTCAGCTTGGAACAAATTCTTCCAAAATTTTTGCTAACAGTTAGCACACTTAGACCATTACAGTTCAAGGAAAATCATACCTAATATTTCCTTGGGGACATCATATAAGAAAGCTCTGTTAACCCAGAAACAGCACATTTTATTTTAAAAGTAGTAGCTGAAGTTCTGGAACAGACATTTTAGTTTTCTCACCACAATAAGGTAATTAGCATGTTATGTAGTCTCAGGAACGTCATCCAGTCTTGATCTGGGGGCATAATACAGTTGCGTTGGCCCAGGGATTTTATTATTTTATGTTAGCCCAGGAGCAGTATATTTAAGAATAAAGGTTTTCCAAAGACATAAGGCTGCAATTTTAGATGTTCATGCATATGATTGTTGAACAGTATTTTCATGCCTTTTTTTGCAGTGAAGACAACTGAAGGGGACATACAATGCTACAATCTGGCACTGAAGTCCTACAGAAGATGTTGCTCCAGAGGGCCTTTGAAAAGCAAAATGTTGAAAGAAACACGACTGCGCACACTACTCCAATTACGGAGCTTTACACAGCATTTACATAGATAAAATATTTGTGATTCAAAGGCATCTGAACATGTATTGTAAATTTGTTGTTTAGGTTTGTGCTCATTCTGTTTTGTCCAACCAAAAAAATCTTGTAGAAAATGTTCAGTAATTACTGTTGTGTGCTGTGTTTAAGTAGGATGTTTTGAGCTTTGGAGTACTTTGGTATTGTTAATATGGTTGTTACAAAGCAAGTTTAATTCATATTTACTACAGTCAATTTGTAGTGCAGCCAGCTACAGTCTGTGCTTTTCAGTTTAAGCCATTAGGTGACTGAAAAACCTAAAAAAAAAAACTTTTTATACAGAAGGCATTATCTTTTTTCAGTAAAAGTGCTTAATATAATTTTGTTTCCACATTTTGATTTATTGCTGCCATTAGATTTTAACAATAACAATTTTCTTGCTAGTTTACAAATACTTGTTTATTGGGTAGCATGTCAAACAGCACCTTAGAAACTGTTAAATGAAACTCACTTAAAGTAAGGATAAGGTTTACTTAAGAAAATATACATAACAGTGTCATTACAGTGTCATAGTACTTGAATAAGCATTCATAAAAATGTTAGAAACTGTAAAATGGCTTTCACTTTACTTAGGGACCAGAGAAAATATACATAACAGTGTCATTACAGTGTTATGGTGCTTGAATAAAGATTCATGAAAATGATTTTACTAAACACCCACAATATTTAGTCATTTAGTCAAGTTGACATCAAAGTTGACAAAAGTAGTCTTTATGACAGCTGACACCTTTTGGAATAAGTATTTATAAATGTTTATGTATGTTTGTGTCAGTTGCCATGAAGCGCTTACGTAGGTGTCATGTAGCCTTCTAAACAGTGCCCTACAGTAAAGTGTTACCAAACTTTTTATTCCAGTAACTCAGCTTTGCTCATTAATGTGGAAGCCTTCAACAGCAATATAGGAAAAAAAAAGTTATTTTTAAGTTCATTCTTGTTATTTTTGCTCAAAGAAGTCACTACTCCATCTTAGTGGCTTATTATTTCTACTTACTATATCACTGTTGACAATTGATAATATCTAATTTCTGCATTTAAGATCTTGCCACATGAAATGCAAGACACAATGCCTCTACAGGGCATTCACCACTACAAGCCACCACTTACTAGCAGACAATCCCACCACAGGGCACTACAGTTTGAAAGTAACATTTGTATCTGCAAAACACATCTTTTAATCATAACTGCATCATGTGTATTAACACATTTGCAAAGCACACTTGTTTTGTATTTAGACACCATGATGTGTGTTGAAAACATTACAAGAGTAGGCCATTTACACAAAATGTGCTGAGATTCAAGTTTCTCAGATTGGGAAGATCTTGATATGCTTCATAATGGTACAAATGAAAGGCCCTTTATACGAAACTTATTTTCAATGAATACAAATAAGATAGTTTGCTTGTTTATTTGTCATTATTTTGTTTTAAACAAGTTCTCAAACTCCACTCATTAGCATCTAAGGTTAACCTAAATGTTCAAGTCTGCTGTTAAAGAACAAGATAGTCTTGTTAGTCACAGGTGTACAAATGTTGCAGTTTCTTTATATGAGGATCCCAAACAATTCAGCGATCACCATAGGACCCCCTGCTTACAAGATAATGTAAAAAATTATTTTGGCACATTAACTTAAAGGGAAATTCCATCTATTTTTCAAATTTTCTGATTAAATGGTGGAGATGCACACAGATTCAATCAGAGTGGTTTAATGTGAAATTGTTTATTGAAGAAAAACATACACACTCTAATTTCTTTACAGTGGTGGTGATCAAAGCCACGGGTGGAACCAATATGTGTATAACACAAATACAGCCATTTAATTCACTATCCAAAGCCACCAGTGAACCTACATGTATCTTCTGAGTTTTTATATGTAATGATGATGATGACGGCAAAATAGTGGTAAAACTAAAAAAAAAATGTGTTTTCTTTGGCGACTATTTGGCCTCACGACACCCTGCATGCACCTCTCCGCCATTATTGGATTTTAAATAGCACATTTAGACAAAAAATAATTACCCCAAAACAACATCTTAGACATCAAGCAGAGTATTCACAACCATTTTACGTAATAACTTTCTGTGAGGCAGCATTTAGAGGCATTAAACTTTTCAGACATCTGGCTCCTGTCACCACCACTGTGAACAAATTCTGAGTCGGCAAGTTTCTCTAGAACAGAGCATTTCACATCAAACCACTCTGAATGACTTAGTTGACATCTTAACGATTGAATTAAGCAGACAATTTTAAACATCGATGGTATTCCCCTTTAAAGAATATTTTCTATGACTTGCATTTCAAGGCTTCCGTACATTCAGTTTTGCTGCTGGGCATTACAGGCAGAAAATGCACCTGTTTTGTAGCTTCCATTTTCGCGAAACCCTTATCACGAGTTAGCCTTAACACTGTAAGTTTATGGATAAACCTAATATAATATGAATTTATAAAAGAAGACTAACAGCCGTCAGTAAAGTCACCTGCAGCAGAAGCTCCGCTCAGTCAATCCTGTAATTCTTCCCTATTCCGGGTTTGGACACGAACAGAAAATAAACGGCCCAGGAGAAAGAAATGACCATAACAACCAGGTACAGCTCAAGCAGGGCGACCGCCTCCTCCAGCGTTGAAGTTCAGTTCACACAAATTTAACTTTAAAACTGGCATTAAAAACAAAGACGTGTCGAAACGAAATGTTTACAGAGAGTCCCCTGTTTGTGTCCAAGTTGTCGCGTTCGGGAGGAAAACGCGACTACTGCGAAGAAGCGTTCCTATCGGATGACTTGTTTGTGTAAACAAGTGGATCATCCTAGGGAACATAATACTGTGTGCTTTAAGATAGATTACTAATATTTACTTTTGTTTAAGTTCATAACTAGACAGTAGAGGTGATCTGTAAGGACTGATATGTGGGATGGCGCAGAGCCTCTCTAATGACGTGGCTGAGTGTTACATGTAAAACGAGTCGTGTTCAGTCAGCTGCTGTCAAGCCAGAATAGTTTTAATATATTTATTTTTGACGTTTTGTTACTTTGGATTCGATAGAAATGACAGTAAGTTACTGTTACTCTAATGAAATAATGGCTCACGTAGAAGTACTGTTAGATTAGCAGATAATGACTTGAAATTTATTATATGCAAATAATCACTGAAGTAGAAGTAAATAAAAAAATGGCTCAAGTGAGCTTACTGCAGTGACTAACACGGAACTAAGAAAAATAGCATTATTGATTGGAACATTTAGTTTTGCTAATTTAAAGGCTTTAGTTTGAATTTCATTTATGTCAGAAAGAAATCAGAAGATATCTTGACATAATATTGATACCAAAACTGATAAAACAAGGTTCACCTAAAACAGCCAAGTAAATTAACTGACTTAATTAAGCCATCAGGACATAATCAGATAGGCTGTTGTGTGTAATCACATTTTTCACAATATTTCAAGATACAAGCATTGATTAAATTTGTTTAGAGTATTTATTAGTTGCACTAATTTAGAGAAATCAGAACTGGACGCTGGTTGGATTCATTCTGTGTGGGCGCTGGTTGGATTTATTTAGAGCAGGGGTGTCCAATCTTATACGCAAAGGGCCGGTGTGGCTGCAGGTTTTCACTCCAGCAAAGAAGGAGGTCACCTGATGAAATGTTTGAAGACTAAGCCCAACTGATTAAACAAGTAGAATCAGGTGTGCTTCAGCTTATTTGGAGTGAAAACCTGCAGCCATACTGGCCCTTTGTGGATAAGATTGGACACCACTGATTTAGAGCATGCACTGGTGGGCATTCATTCTGAGTGGGCGATTTGTATTGGAAAGAGATGAAGACTAATTAAGGGCTGGTCCTGAAGAGACATTGATTTTTTTGGGTTTTGAAATTGACCCAGTCTCGCTTTCATTTGGACTCAGTCTTGACTTGGTGTTACTTTCATTTGGACTCGGTCTTGACTTGGTGTTACTTTCATTTGGACTCGGTCTTGACTCTGTCTCGACTAGTCATGGTGTTGGACTTGTCTTGGACTCAACAAAGGTGGTCTTGGCTACTAATGGCTGCTGCTTGGCCCTAATGCTGAATTTGATTAACAGTCTTGTTGGGGTCCTAAGCATGCTGAGCTGGAAAGCACAGTTGGAGCTAGTGATGGTGCAAACTCGTGAATGGTCAAACACAATTATTACAGAATCATCTCTCAGTTTGTGAAAAGAAAAAAAAAAACAATAGCTAGCCAGAATTGCTGTGACTTACGTAAAACCGAACAGCAAGTAAAAGGTAAATCAGAGCTGAAAGCTCCTCCACTGTTGCTCCAGTTGTTTGTGTTTACAGTGAATGCTAACTTTGCATGTGTGCAATGGGAAATGCACACAGGTACTCAACCAGGGTATGGATAGTTCTAGGTTCAGATTAGTGACTGTGCAGTGCTGTACTGTCTGGTGGAAAAAACACCATTAATGTTTTTATCATTTTCTGTGAAGGTACCAATGTTGAATGCATTCATGTGTTAAGCAAACCCTAGAAAAAGTTGTCATCATGTTCTCATCAACATACAAAATAACTGGTGAATACTTTGCTTTAAGGCAAACTGGACATCCAACATTAACTAGATCTCATTAAAAAAAGAGCAGAATCCTGAACATCAAATTTCTTAAGGCAGCTGGTCAAAACCTATCCAGAATTTGCAGTTGTCTGATAATGCTCATGTAATGGCATCAATTCCAGTCTATTCAAAGTTAGTGGCCTCACATATCAAATAAATTTTACTACAGGCTGGAGTTTGGGATTTGTAAAGAACACATTAATTCTTAAGTTAGAAAATGTCTATTTCCATGTAAGCTGTCTCACACTTGCTATCTCATTACAGATTTTACTGTATCTTGCACTCAAAATCTTTGCACTGAATAACTGCAAACGCATTCTTAAAAGTAACTGTGATCTTGAACTGAATGGACTTCACGCATTCAAACACACCATCACCCTGCTAACAACTATTATGGTACGTCCTCACGGTCTAAATTAACACTTTTGACCACAAGCCTAGGTCACAATGTTCTCAAACTTCAGCAGACATCTATTGAAAATAGAACAGAAACAAGACATGGGGAAGATGCACCTCTTAAGAACAAAGCCCAATTTACTGTAAAGCTAAACTATGTCTCTGTATGAGTTTAGCATGTACAGCATGATTATGCACAAGCCTATGCACAACTAGGGGAAATAAACTGTAGAAGGACGAATATGATGACGAATACTATGATGATTATCTTTTAATAAGGCATGGCCATAAATTAATATCTTGAGGCCTGAGTTAAGTATCTTGAGGTCATGCAGTTATATATTGAAGCCACATGGCCATGAGAAACTTAACTTGTGGCCTCAGTATATTCATTTGTGCCCAAGCTTTATTAAGAAATAATCACCTTAGGTGCTCTGTGGTGAAGAAAGAGCCTCTTTATCTATTGGACCCCCTACATGGGTATAGAAGCCCCCAGGGGAATCTTGCATCAACTGTCTATCATCTTATGCAAAATAACTATATTAACCCGTTAAAATCCTAGGTTTATTATATACTAAGGGTTATTATTCAGTATATGTATAGACTACAATGCAAACTGGTTGCGTTATAGTTTAGTTATGAAAGTGTGTAGTAAAACTTTGGACCCGCCGGTGTGTCCTGGCTATTTAAGGGGTTAACAAAGCAATAACATTCATAATGTAATTAATAAGAGCACCTGTTCATAAAGTGCAAATGATAAGCGCACATATCAGAGCAAATTAACCATGGAATCAATGATACTTGCATACATATTTACCTCCAGCAAGACAATTTTAGTGTGTGCATCAGTGCTAAAGATCAATGTGAGCTAATGACTCTTAGGGCGTTTTCACACTAGAGGTTTTTTCCAGACCCGCAGCTGCTAGCTCTGTGAGTTCAATATGTTTGGTCAAGTGTGAAAGCTGTTTTCGAGCTCAGGAGTGGTCCAGAAAACCAATCTGGTCCCCCTGAGATAGATGGTGTGGGGCTCTGGTGCAGTCTGCTGGGATGTGGAAACTGTCTACTCCGGGCGCCACATGTGAAGTTGCGTGGATGAAGGATGAAGCTAGTGCCAACCAATTTGCAAACCTGTGCACCTGTGCGGACTCAAGTATTCGGGACAAGTGTGAAAACGCCATTAGAGGTTCTGTGTTACAAATAACCTCCATTCATTCTATTAGTGATGCCTCTCTAGGACTGAAACAATCATATTATAAGTAGAAAAGTGAATTTCCTCTAAGAAAAATCAGAGTTACTGCACAGCTTAAGCAATTCCCACATGGGTGTTAGGGTGTTACCTAACAGTTGCTGTGATATTTTAGGTGGTTGTTAAAGTGTTGCTAATGGTTGCTATGGCTTCCCAGGTTGTGCTATGGAATCTCTGGTGGATACTAAGGCATTGCTGGTATCCCAGATGGTTGGTAGGGTGTTGCTAGGTGGCACCCATGGTATCTCTGGTGGTTACTAGGATGTTGCATTGTTTTCCATGTGGCTGCCAGGGTGCTGCTAGGTGGTCACAATTGTGTAGGCATTGTCATTTGGTTGTGTTGGTCTGGTGTTGCTACCTGGTTGCTATCCCAGGTGGTTGCTAAAGTATTGCTATGTGCCATGGTATCCCACTTCTGTACTTGTATCATTGCGATTTAAGTGGAGTGCACAAACATTTGCTCAATATTAATTCTTTTTTGCTATACTATTTAAATGTACTTGCATTGTTTGTTACATAGTTAATTACACAAGTGATTACATGTATGTTTGATTTATTTTCTGCATGGACCGATTGTTCACTTCTGACTGAGTGGAATTTCCCTTTAAAACATAATCAGAAACATCACTTCCATCAATCAGTCCATCTACATGTTTGCACAATATCCCATGCACTTCTAAGTATGTATATAGTGGGGGTGAGGGTGGGCAAAAGAGAAATGAACAATTAACAAATTAACACAAACACACAAGCATGCACAAACTCACATACACAAACACATGCACGCATGCACGCATGCACACATGCATGCACACACACACCTGGGAGCCTGTATAATTAGCCGTGTGGGCGTTGCAGTAGGTCTATTTGTGTTGCGCAGTGCAGAGGTGAATTCTGAGCTCTGAGACAGTTATAGTACTTGCTGCAGTTCCCATGCGTAACCTAAATGAGTCAGCGGTGAAACCATCCTTTACCTAGCCTCAGTATAGTCACCAGTGTTGAACTGGCCACACTGTAAACAAAGTTGTGCAAAGTCCGCATTCTTCATTTGCATTGTTAAGAAAACTCAGCAACGTCACTTATGGTTTTAACTAAAGTTTAAATACTGAGTTTTCCCAACTAGACTGCTTCCTACCAGTCCTGCACTGTAAGCCTTGACGTAGTTTGTACTTCAATAATGAAGTAGAGTTTCTTCTCAAATTTAATTGTTACACTTAATCCAGGCAAGTTGTTTGGACTGTCAGGTTGAAAAATCAATTGTGCTTCATTTTGTGAGAAGAACACACTGAACACCACAAGTTCTAAGCAAGTGCAGGGAGTATAGCAGCTCCTATTTTATCCATCATATGTTGTTTTTACATGAACAACATTTTCACTTGTTTTCACTTTCACTTTATACTCCAGCTATATGATAAGTTTGGATGGGTTTAACATGTTTTAGTTATTCTAGCCATGATAGTGTTTTGTGCATCTGTATATGTTAATTCCTTTGGTTGTAATTAATAAGATACTGCCAATTAGCAGTGTAACTCTTTTTCTGAAAAAGACGTTTTTTTCCCATGTT